GCACTGGATTGCAAAACTTAAGCCGTCATACTTTTACTCGCCAATATAAATCTCGTGTACACTTATATATATTATCACACTTAGAGACTCTTTGGCTTGTGTTTTGTTTTGTTTTAGGCTTGCTACAGTAGCCCCTTTCAAGCCCAAAACATGTTTGGTTGGGCTTGTTGTGTTTTAAACAGTTGCAAAATAATTTAAAAAATGGGCCCAAAATATGAAACACCATTTGTGGTGTTTTTCGTTGTTTCGGTACTGTTTGGGCTATATTACACTATAGCGGAGGAAATAATTTGCTCATTTAACTACAGCGAAGGAAACACGTATAAAAGTCAAAATTGGTCATTTTCTAGGGTTTTGGGTGCAGCTTCTCTTTAGCGATTTTGGGCGACTCGCAAATCATCTTAGCCTCCCCAATCGCCTCCAACTTTATTCTCGTTCTCAACTTTGAACTTGCCCTCTCTATGTCTCTATAGCTGCAATCTACAAAATCTACAAGAATCAGAAGTTCAAAACCCGTATACTTCAGTTTATCTATCTGTCTGCAAGAATCAAAAGTCTAAACCTATATCAAAATCCATATCGGCATATCATTTCAGATTGTTCAAAAAATCAAAACCCATATCTTTTAGTTTCCATCGCTCGCTATTCTAGTTCGGGTTCGCCGTTCGCAAGCTTCAACCGCTGGCCTATAGTCTCTCAACTCTCAAAACCCATATCGGCATATCATTTCAGATTGTTTTAATTTTTTTTTCTAAATCAATTAATCAAGGTCTGTAATTCTTGTTTTAATTTTTTTTTTTTTTTGGCCAAATCAATTAATCTATCAAAATAATTTTTTGTTTGGCTAACTCTGTTTTAATTTATGATGTTATTTATATAATTTTTATTTTATTTTATGAATTTTATTATAAATATTTGTGAAGATGATGACTGAAATAGGACCTCCTTATAGGATTTGCAAACTTGTAAATAGGATAATAAAATTAATAAAATTGAAAATAGGTTATTGCAAAAACAATTTAGGACTTTTATATTAAAAAATATTGACAATATTTGAATTATTAAAATGTGTTAGGCAATTAATAAGGGTAGATTTTGGGAAGTCTAGGTCAAATTGGTTTGAGTGAGTGGGTTTAAAACTAACATGGACAAACCTCGAAGCCCATGCAACTTCTTTATTTTCAAAGGGTACTCTTTTCTCAGTTTAAAAAAATGAAATTTGGGTTCAATTAGGTGAATTGGGGCTTCCTAAGTCCAAACATTTGAGTCCAAATTATTTGGGCAGTACGTTTACTGAGTTCATAATTGGGTTCAGACAAATGAAACCCATATATATTCAAATAATAGATATCAACATTTACAATAATCAAATATATGTCAGTGGAATTTTTTCAAAAACTAAATAAAATAACATTAAATGAAAAAAAAAAAAAAAAGAACAGTGGGCATGTGTCACACGATCATAAGTGTCGTGTCATTCGAGTAGTTGAATTGCTCCCCGTGTTCGAACATCGCATCATTCTCATTCCTACTAACCACTAACCCTAACATTCTTGCCTTGAAAAAATAAGAAATAAAAAATAAAAATGCCACAGGACCATACTTTACCAAGAGGCGGGATGTTCCTAAGAGGAAGTTGACACAAGGTTTGTTCATAGTTTGGTACGGGGTAATGAAATAAGATAGAAATAGAATGAACCAGAGAATGAAATGGGGATATAATGAAAATGGAATGACCGTTCCCATTCTTTCGCTTGATTATATATGACTTAAAAAGAAAAACTAATTTATATATATGTAAACCAAATAAAAATATATATATATATGTGAAAATATATATTTTCAATGTATATTTAAAAATTGAGAAGGAAATATTAAAAAAAAGTTGACTTTTATTGAATCTTGTTATTTGAGAAAAGTGCTTATTTTTATTCCATATTTTTTTAAGTGAGGAATTGAATGTTCATTCCTCTTGTTAAAAAGTAGAATGATTTTAATAGAATGACCATTGTTTGAGAAAGGTAAAGAATGAACATTCTATTTTTAAAATTACTTTCTAAATAAAAAAATAGAATTAAAAGCATTTCATTTCATTTCAACTTACCAAACTGGTCCAAAGAAAACAAGGTCCACTATTTTCTCTCTCTTTTTATATTATTATTTATTACGTAGTATTTTTTAAATTTCTTTAATGTTGACTAGATTCGGATAAGGTTCAATGCTTTTGTTATTTGATACCACTATAGAAGATATTAAAAAACCATTGGAGAGTCCTAGGCTGTTTTTATTGTCCAAATAAAAACCACCCACAGTAAGGGGGATTAGAAAATTTCGTTGTTGAAAAGTCTTTGTGGGATTACTGCAAAAACACACACACACTCTCTCTCTCTCTCTCTCTCTCTCTCTCTCTCTCTCTCTATATATATATATATATACACACACACTCCACCTGTCTAAAAAATAAAATAAATAAAATAGTCGTACTTTCTTTTTTGATTTGTCCTCTCACTCCATATATACTCCATCTATACCAAAAAATAAAAATAATAATAATAATAAATAAATAAATAAAATAAAGTTTTAAACAGGTAGTGTTCTTAATCTATATATATATATATATATATATATATATTTCTGTCCACTAATTAGGAGGAACCTTGTAGTAAGGTCCATTGTTTTAATATTGTTGACTTTGGTTCTTATTCTCTACAATATACAACACTGCAAAGGGATAAGGTTGATTAAGATGGTTGTTTAGTAACAGTGTATCAGATATTTAAAAAAACCATTAGAGAAACTGATGGGCTGTTTAGGCTGTTTTCAGCTTATAAAAACCACCCAACAATAAAATATTCTATAGGTCAAAAGTCTCTCTAATCCTTTGGGAACATCTCAATTACGGTCTGTACTCTGCTGTTGGGATAATACCTACCGATGTTTAATCCACAAAATCTATTTTATGTCGTCTTAATTTTTTTTTTTTTTTTCAAGTCTCATTCACAAAATATAATTATCAAAAAATTGATGGGGACATGGGCTAAATTAGTGGCATATTTTAACTTTTCAAAGTAAAATATAAGAGTTGGTAAATTTCCTGTCAAGAAAAAAAAAAAAAATTATTTTAAATTAAAAATAATAGTGTAAGTTCTAATTCAAGGAAAATCGAAGAAACAAACCGTTTATAAAAATATAGGAAAACAAATGGTAAATATTGAAATTGTCAGAATTTGAAACTAATCATGTATACAAAGAATATGTGTTAAAGTTAATATTTGTTAGAAACTTAAACGTTTTGATTTATCTGTTTAAAAAATAGTTGTAAAAAATTCAATTATTTGTATAACTTTTTAATTTTAAAAAATAAAGATATTATCAGAAATTTGAACCAATCCTGTATTCTCTCCATCATATCACCAACTACACGTCTAAATGAAAACTATCTCAGAAGTTGTCATTCACATTTATAAAGGTAAAATACATAAACATCCTGAGACTTGTTAAAAAGATACTAAGAGAAAAATTTGTCTATTTTGAGATAATGACACTCCTTAAAATTTAATACATTTACCAAAAACACTCCAATGATAATAAATTAACATTTTTACCTTTTGACTTTTATATTGATTAATTTAAATACCGAAATGACATTTCTAATCTCGTACCCACAACAATTTCTTTCCTTCTCTTCTATCTATTTTCTCTTTATCAGCCCCCAACACCAACCCACATTGTCACACATATACACACATACTGTCACACAAATGATGCATTCATACTTATTTAATAAATAATATATTAATTACTTGATACTTTTTTCCCTACTAAAAAAAAAAAAAAAAACAATTAAAACTCATTCTCTTAAAAATTTAGATTCTCCAAAAGAACATTTAATTTAAAACCGATGGAGTTTAAATTTTTAGTTATATAACTTATGCGAAAAATATTTTATGTAATTCTTATGATACTGCTTTATTGAGGTGCAAATTATCCTCTTGACATTATTTTACACGAGTAGAAAAGATACCCACCCAAAATATTAAAAAAAAAAAAATAGTGTTTGCTCTAACTTTTTTTTTTTGGCTCTAACTTCAATGTTCTAATTTAGGTCAAATTTCATTATGTCAAAATATATATATATTAAAGCAACATTATGTCAAATGATTCTACAATAATTAAGTACGATTTTGTACCGTGTGAATGGGTGCGGGCCAAAGATGTAATCTATTGTTTTGTTCATTTGATTGATTTAACACATAAAAAATTGACATAATGAAATTTGACCAAAATTAGAACATTGAAGTTAGAGCAAAAAAAAAAAAAAATTAGAGCAAACACTAATTTTTAAAATTTTTTTTTTAGGTGGGTATATTTTCTACTTGTGTAAAATAATATTAAGAGGAAAATTTACACCTTAATAAAACAGTATCATAAGAATTACATATAATATTTTTCGCACAAGTTATATAACTAAAAATTTAAACTCCATTGGTCTTAAATTAAACGTTTTTTTTTTTAGAATCTAATTTTTTAAGAGAATGAGTTTTAATTGGTTTGTTTTTTTTATTTTATTTTATTATTGTAGTAATAGTGAAAAAAATATCAAGTAATTGATGTATTATTTATTAAATAAGTATGAATACAATCATTTGTGTGACAGTATGTGTGTATATGTATAGCAGTGTGTGTTGGTGTTGAGAGTTGAGGAAGAGAAAAATAAAATAATTTGTTATGGGTAAGGTTAGAGAGGTCATTTCAATATTTAAATTAGTCAATATAAAAGTCAAATGATAAAAATATCAATTTATTATCATTAGGATATTTTTAGTAAATGTATCAAACTTTAGGAGTTGTCATTGTCTCAAAATACACAAATTTTCATCAAAATGTTCTTTTGATAAAACTCAAGGGTATTACTGTACTTTTATAAAAGTCAAGAATGACAAAAGAAGGAATAGTAAAACCAGGAGTTAAAAAGGGGATGGTTTTGGTATTAGCCGACTGAATTCTGGATTAGAACAAAACAGAAAACAACGGTTGCTCATAAAAATATAGTAAAGTTGTTCTCTTGTTTCTTTTTCCATTCATAGTATTAGTGTATATATAGACCCCCACAGAGCATTTCTATCTCAAACAACAAAACACCACTCGAGAAATTGAAAAGCTTTGTAGACTTTTGCCAATTTGTTTCCGTTTGTTAGTGAAGAAAAGATGTCGACTACTGCTGGTCAGGTCATACGTTGTAGAGGTATGATGCCCTATGTCTCTATTCTTCCATCTTAATTTCATCTCTCACTTATGATTTGTTTCTTGGTTAAAGTCTTTTTCATATATATATATATATATATATATTTTAAATAATGGTTTGAATCTTTACTAGTTCTTGGTTCACTCAATCATTTTTTATTTTATTTTATTTTTTTTCTTCTTCCTTGCTTGCTTTGGTAATTTGGGTTTATAGTATGGTGCGTGACAGTGACAGTCTTGTTTGATTTGCGACTCATAAAATAATTTACAGAAACTGTGGTCAAGTTCACTTTTTGAATTTTCAATTTCTTAAAAAACAAAAGAAAATTGAACCAAGCAAACCCTAATGATGTTAATTCTGGCAATGGTGGGAGGTCGTTCTGGGTAAATTCTGATCAGAAAAGAAAAATTGGAATTGCAGTGAGGGCATGTTTGTCATTTCATTTATTCTATAAGGGGCCTTTGGTTTAAGGGAACAATGTGCTACCTTTTGATAGTTTGAGAGCTTCATTGTTGAGTTTTTGTAGATAATTGAGGAGCATTTAGTGCAACTTAACCTTCATTAATCATGGGTATCTTATTTTATAAAAGCTGGTTCCTTCCTATGTTGATATTTAATTCTTGATTTTTCACTGGATTGACAAAAGGTGATGTTTGTATTTCATATACTATATATAGAATATAGTGTGTGATGTATTCAATGTCTGTACTTTCATGGGACTTATTGTCATTCAAATTGAATGATTATTGTTGCAGCTGCTGTGGCATGGGAAGCAGGGAAGCCATTAGTGATTGAAGAAGTGGAGGTGGCTCCTCCACAGAAAATGGAGGTTCGTATCAAGATCCTCTATACCTCTCTCTGCCACACTGATGTCTACTTTTGGGAAGCCAAGGTAAAATTCATTTTCGATTTCGATTTCGATTAAGATTTCAACCATTGTTTGCTTGCTTAAGAGTCATGACTATATATATCCATTATGCTTGTACCGCACATTAATTTCCACGAATTTTTTGATTATTGCAGGGACAGAACCCCGTGTTTCCTCGGATCCTTGGGCACGAGGCAGGAGGGTATGTTAATTTTAGTCCACAAAAGATCTTAGTCTTACTCTATTTCAATATAGTTGCATTTGACTGTTCGTTCGTTATGCTTATAATATAATGAGTTTTATGTTGAAGTTGAATCCAAAAATCAGGATTTTTATATGTCATTTAATTTAATTTTGGTGGGTATTTAGGATTGTGGAGAGAAATCAGGATTTTTTTATGTCATTTAATTTAATTTTGGTGGGTATATAGGTTTGTGGAGAGAAATCAGGATTTTTTGATGTCATTTAATATAATTTTGGTGGGTATTTAGGATTGTGGAGAGTGTGGGAGAGGGCGTGACCGATCTTGCACCAGGTGACCATGTGCTTCCTGTCTTCACCGGTGAGTGCAAAGAGTGTGCTCATTGCAAATCAGAAGAGAGCAACATGTGTGATCTCCTCAGGATCAACACCGATAGGGGAGTGATGATTCATGATGAAAAATCGAGGTTCACGATCAAAGGCAAGCCCATTTACCATTTTGTTGGAACATCCACCTTTAGCGAGTACACTGTGATCCATGTTGGTTGTGTTGCCAAGATAAACCCCCTTGCCCCTCTTGACAAAGTCTGCATTCTCAGTTGTGGAATCTCCACAGGTACACAACAGTCATCGTCTAATTCGAGTCCCAATTATCATATTGTTTATACTGATGAAGCTTTTAAGTAATGTATTTAACCAAATTTCATGTGTTTGTTTTGCAGGCCTTGGTGCCACTTTGAATGTTGCCAAACCGAAAAAGGGCTCAACTGTGGCAGTATTTGGATTGGGAGCTGTAGGCCTTGCAGTGAGTTACTTCTCATAGAAATATTTAGTGCATGTTGTACCAGATCATCGAATAATTTTATTTATATTGTGGTAAATCTATGTTTTTAGGCTGCAGAAGGTGCCAGAATTTCCGGGGCTTCAAGAATTATTGGTGTTGATCTGAATGCTAACAGATTTGAACTGGGTAAGCAATCTGCTCATCATAAATAGAACTATATCTGCATTGCCAGAATATATAACAGAGAGACTATGTTAGTTAAAATACTTCTCTTTTATTTCTTTTGCAATTGAGAAAAAGGAAAGTTAGTGGATGAGGTTTTCTTCTCTTTGTAAACAGCCAAGAAGTTTGGCGTGACAGAGTTCGTGAACCCAAAAGATCATAGCAAACCAGTTCAGGAGGTATTTTTCCAAACTTGTTGGCGGTGCATACCCCCCTTCTTCGCTTTTCACATAACTGATTGAATTTTTTGGTTGATTGCTCTTTAGGTACTTGCTGAGATGACTGGTGGAGGAGTGGACAGAAGCATTGAATGTACTGGCCACATCGATGCCATGATTTCAGCATTCGAATGTGTCCACGATGTACGTATATATACTTTAACTTCCATTTAAGCCTTGTCTAAGCCAGTCAAATGGAACATGAGATTGTCCTAAAAACTCTCACCTAATGCAAGAATCTATTATCTATATCTGTTTCATTTCAAATGATGATATACTAAAACAATGTAATCTCAGGGCTGGGGTGTAGCTGTTCTTGTGGGTGTTCCCCACAAAGATGCTGTCTTCAAGACCCACCCGGTGAATCTACTGAATGAAAGGACTCTAAAGGGTACATTCTTTGGCAATTATAAACCCCGTTCAGACCTTCCTTCCGTCGTGGAAAAATACATGAACAAGGTGAGCTCACTTATCCCAATTCTCAGAGGCGAAAATTTGACATTAAGAAACTAAGAGACGACCTTGTTTCGTGCTCAACTGTCTCATTAATATCTCATGTTGCAGGAACTTGAACTGGAGAAGTTCATTACCCATGAAGTCCCATTCTCGGAGATCAACAAGGCGTTCGACCTCATGCTAAAAGGGGAAGGCCTTCGATGCATCATCCGTATGGACTGATACAAAGGCATGGAGGTCTGCAGTTGATTTGCTTCTTTTTTGTGGAGCTATAATAAAACTTGTATGGTTGTTTTTGAGCATAATGTCTATGCTGCTCCTTGTGAACAGAAATGACAATTATATGACAATATTTTGTTTGTAAATATCTTTCAATAAATGATTTTATTTTTAATGTTGGGTTCTTATTTTTAACTGTTTACTCATAATAAATGTTTGAAAATGCTTTTAAAAGGCACCTTTTGCATTTTTGAGTAATCTACTTTCTTTTTTTTTTTCAACCTAACATATTAGGGAGTGTGTTCGCGCGGTTTTTGTTCCCTACGCCGGTCGATGGACTATTCGCGGGCGTGCCAGAGTATTTGTACAAAATACCCAAAATATGTAATTGAACACCAGCCTATCCCTTTTTTCGATGGCTGACTCTCAAGCGATTGTGTGGGAGAGAGACTAGTAAGAACTCCCAGCAAGGTCCTTTTATGCCTTGTTTGTAACAAAGATTTTTTAGAGTGTCTAAAGAAATGCAACGGCTGATGAATGTTTGAATGGATGGAATGGCCGGCAAGAACTTAATCGATCGCCGGCCGAACGTGATGGCGATAACTTAATCAATCGCCATCAGTCAAACACAATGGCAAGAATTTAATCGATCGCCACTGAAACGTGATAGCAAGAATTTAATCAATTGCCATCAGCCAAGTAATGACAAGAATTTAATCAATTGTCACTACGATTCAATGGCAAGAATTTAATCAATTGCCATTGAATTAAAAGCCTAACTAAAATTTTGCGTAATTTAAATTGGCATAATTGAAATTGAAAGAAAGTAAATGGCGGAATTGAAATAGTTGACAATGATCTAATCAATTGCCATTAAATTGAAATAAAGAAACTGATAGGAAAAAATGACGTAGAGTCAATTGAAAACATTTTTAGTTGAAATGCATGTTTTGTGGTGGTGCTGGACAAATTGGAATAGGAATACAATACTTCTATTTATAGAAGTTCTATCTCAACTTATTTTCCTAAGTTATTGCTAGAAAATCTCTCTTTCTTTGATTCTTTTCTTCACTTTATTACTCAAACTAAACCACGTTCCAGTAGTCTTTTGCGTCTCTTCTCTTCTTGCTTCAATAGAAACTCCTTGTTGAAAACTCTCCTTGATTTAGTCAAATGCAAGTTGTCGAATTGTTGCTGAAAAGTTGCTAAAGAAGTTGCTGGAAAGTTGCTAATTTTTAGCAACTTCTTTCCTTATACTTGGTCACCGTTTCTTCCCTTAAATTGCCCAAAAGCCATTTATCGCTTTTATATTCATGACGCGGCTGCCTTTTGTATTTTTTCCTTGTTCCATCCAACTAGAATTCTTATAAAATAGGAATTCAGTTGTCTGATTTTTTTAAAACTTTAGTCTTTCCTTTCCTGTTGATAACCCAACTTGAATAAAGTCAAATGTTTGTTGCTATATTTTAGCAACTGCCTTGTTAATGAAGTGGCTGAGTAACTTTCTCCAATACTTGCTCCTGATATTTCTTAACTGGCTGATTCCCTTGACGCCATGTTAAAAATACTTATCAGCTTTTCATTGGTCCACGTCATCGCTGAGATGGCTGCCAAGTTTTGGTGCCAACAAATGCCCCCCAAATTTCAAATGTCTTATCGGCCACTCAAGCCGATTAGATTTTTGGAATTTTTATAACATGAAAGAAACTGGCAGCTAGCGAGCTTCTAGACTTTATTTCTTCCGAACCACTTCTATGTTGGTCTTTATTTTGCGTCGGCCAGAGCCAGGGCTGGCCGATCCTGGTTCTTCTATTATTCCCACAAAGCTGGCTGATACCTCTCAAAACATTGGCCATTTATAAATACATGATAGACCTCACCATTGAAGTTTCCCAACTCTACTAGTAAGGTATGATCGTAATCGGCCGGGATCAAGTTGTTATGTAATATTATTTGGGCCGATCTAACTGGCTTCTCCATTAAAAGAACAACATTCTGCCAGTATAGAGCTTTTCTGATGGCTGATCCTCTTGAATTTTTACACTTTCTTCCGCGAATTTCTTCTCCACTTAACCCTTTTTAGTTTCCATCCCCGCTTTCTTTTCTTGAAATTCGGTTGAGGATGACGAGCTAAAAGAATTCTCTCAGCCAATGATGGTTCTGGCTGAGGATTATATACCACTCTCGGCCAAGCATTCTGGTAATCTGGCCGATTTGATCCTGAAATTCTTTTACTTCCATTTAGGGCAATAATCATGTTGTATGAGAGCCTTGACATTCGGAATGGCTGATGGTGTACTCTCGGTAACTTTAGGCTGATTCCCTTCATCAACCTTCCTCTTGGGAGCCTGGCCGATCACATTACTACCTGGTATGAAAATATCATTGTCGACCTCCATGACTTCATCATCTGCTCCCTTTTTGGCAGATATGGTAGATGTTTGAGTGTCGGATGTGGCTGATTTTGGCTTTTTGTACATTGGTCGACCTATTCGCTTAAGGCCATTACCATATTCTTGCTTAATAGGATCAGCCAACTGAACCTTATTGACCGTCGTTGGCTGATTAAGATAATCAATGACCGGTCGATCTTGATTTACCACCAGCGGCTGATTATAATTCGGCCAACCTTCTGGCTGATTATAATTTAGCCAGCCTTCTGGCTTATCTTTGATCATTTTTTCAATGATCTCTATTAAAATTTTGTTTGAAGATTCGGCCTGGCCATTTGCTTGAGCATAGTATGGCGTAGAGGCTGACATATGAATATTCATGTTGTGGCCGAATTGTAGTACATCAGTTGCCCTAAATACTGTTGCATTGTCTGAAACAAGTGTTTCTGGAATCCCAAATCTGTGGATGATGTTTTGTTCCATGAAATTAATCACTGTTTGCTGATCAACCGTTTTGCAAGCCTTGGCCTCAACCCATTTAGTAAAATAATCTATGGCAACAATCACCCAGTGATGGCCTTCGCTTAATGGTGGATTAATTTTACCAATAAGGTCAAGGCCCCAACCTCTGAATGGCCAAAGTTTAATTATAGGCTGTAATTCTTTTGCTGGTACATTTTGAATCGGCCCGTGTCTTTGACAAGCTTGACAACCTTTTGAGTAATCTATGCAATCTTTTCTCATTCTCGGCCAATAATATCCATACCTGCGAATCAGACATCTCATTTTAATCCCAGCTTGGTGAGCCCCACAGCTGCCCTCATGTACCTCGGCCATAACCTGAAGTGATTCCTCCTTGCTTATGCATTGTAGTAAGAGCCCATCTTTTAACCCTTTTCTGTATAGATCCCCATCTAGAAGCACAAAGTTGATCGCTTTTCTTTTAATACTTCTATCAGCCTTGATGTTTGGATTTCGAAGTAACATTATAAATGGTATCCTCCAGTCATCGTCGGCCAAATCTTCTACATCAATTGTCCAAGTATCAAACATAGTATTTCTCAATTCGGCCGATGGCAAAGATCTTCGTGTTATCTTTATCAACTGATCTTCTATTCCGGCTGGTACTCTTATTCCAGAGGCTGCTTGAGCCATGCTGTTGGCCTTCTTATTCTGCCCTCTCGGCCAGAACTTAAGTTGAACATTATCAAATTGATTAATTAATGAAGTGGCCAGAGAATGAAACGGCCTTAATTGCTAACTTAGGCACTTAAAATCTTCAGAAATTTGGCTAAGGACTAAGTTTGAATCTCCCAAAATCTTTACATCTCTAACAGCCATTTCAATTAAAATCTCCAGGCCGATTATAAGTGCTTCATATTCGGCCTGGTTATTTGAACATTTAAAATCTAAAAAGAAAGAGAATGAAGCCTTTCTGCCAGCTGGCGAAATAATAACAATACCTGCTCCTGCTCCATCAGCCGTGCTTGATCCATCAAACATCAAGATCCAAGGAGTCAAGAATATAGTTGATGACTCCAATTCATCATAAACCCATGGATCAATATCAGTTGAAGGATGATCGGCCAAAAAATCAGCCAGAACCCTTCCTTTTACTGATTTTTGTGAGACGTAGATAAAATTGAATTCCATCAAAGCCAAAGCCCACTTACCTATTCGGGCAGTGATCAATGGCCTTGATAGCATATACTTGATTACGTTAGTCTGACAAAGAATGTAAACATCAACAGGCCGCATGTATACTCTCAACTTCATGGCCGAATAGTACAAAGATAAACAAAGTTTCTCAATTGAGGAATATCTGCATTCTACATCAGTCAGTATTCTACTCAGGTAGTAGACAGCCTGCTCCTTTCCATGTTCATTGTCTTGTGCGAGCATACTACCAATTGATTCTTCTGCGGCCGATAAATAAAGCTTTAACGGCCACTTCTTTCTTGGAGGCATTACAACCGGGGGGTTTGCCAAATACTCTTTTATTTTGTCAAAGGCCTTCTGATGGGATTCGTCCCAATGAAATTTCTCATGTGACTTTAATTTCACTAAAGTCGAAAAGACATGCACTCGGCCAGCATGGTTAGAAATAAATCTTCTAAGAAAACCTACCTGGCCGAGGAACCTTTGCACTTGTTTTTTGTTGGCTGGGGCCCTAGCATTTATAATAGCTTTGACCTTGTTCTGATCAACTTCAATACCTCGTTTATGTACCAAGAACCCCAAGAAATTCCCGACTGAAACTCCAAATGCACACTTCAATGGGTTCATTTTCAATTTGTGAATCCTCATCCTTTCAAAGGCCCTTTTCAAGTGTTCCAAATGCTGTCTCTTGGCCGATGATTTCACAACCACATCATCTATATAAATTTCCATAAATCGGCCAATCATATCATGAAAGATAGAATTCATTGCCCTTTGATAAGTAGCCCCGGCATTTTTTAGGCCAAATGGCATCACAATCCACTCAAAAGTACCAATTGACCCAGGACATCTAAAAGCCGTTTTATGAACATCCTCCTCGGCTAAATAGATTTGATTATAACCTGAATGGCCGTCCATAAAAGACAATATTTCATGCTTAGCGGCCGAATCAATAAGTTGATCGGCCACAGGCATTGGATATTCATCTTTTGGAGTGGCATTATTTAAATTGCGAAAATCCACATAAACTCTAAGTTTGCCATTCTTCTTCATTACCGGAACAACATTAGACAACCATTCAACATACCTAACTGTTCGAATAAATCCTGCCTTAAGAAGTTTTTCAATTTCTTCTT